AGGAACTTTTTTTTAAAAGTCACTTAAAAAGAATACTTCCTCCCCCTCTTCCTCCACTACCCCCTTCCAATCCCAATTTTCCAGAGAAAAATGGCGTTCTACCAAAACTTCAAGAAAACGGACGGGTAAGGTAAAGTACAGAGTGCGGATCTGAAGGAATAAAGCAAATTTTATATAATCCCCCTCAGCCACAAAAATCCTTGAATTGAAATGATAAGCTGCTGCCATTAGAAGGCCGAATCAGAAGTGGACGGTCCACCAAGTGGGGTGCCCGAAGTGGGTTAAATTGATAAAAAAATTTTTTGGCGCCCATTGGTAGGCCAAAACATAATTTCTGAAGTAACGACCAGCCCGACCATGGGAAATGCGGAACAGCCGAAATCCTCAAAAATTTTAATGTGGGGTGGAATCAGATAATGGATTATGACGGGAAAGACAGTGGGCCAGTTAATGTGGTAGGGCTGCTAATACGTTATCTTATTTCGAATGGCCAATCTGTTTTAATGTAGGAGTGGGACATCCGTTAAGGAGTTGAATGGAATTAAGCAGTTGAATGGAAGTATTCAGAAAGATTGAGGCATCGTGGTCGTATTCACAGGTAGCCGGAACTGGACCGTAGTTACCATAAGGGGCAAATTTGTATGAAAACAGATTTTGCATGTTGGCAGTGTGAATGAAATTTACGCAATGTACCAGCCTGCAAATACACAATTCCTCCTCAAGATTACTGCCGTCGTGCAGAGGCGCAAAATGAAATGTTCAGGGTACAGTTACCCAGAGCAATTACCCAGGCAGTCCTGGTATTTTTGGCGTTTCATAAAAATTCGGAAAAAAAAAATCACAAAAATTGTAGTGCAAAACGAAAAATGTTTAGGGTATAGTTACCCAGGGCGATTACCCGGGTTGTTCTGGTATTCTTGGTATTTCACAAAAATTCGAGAAAAAATCACAAAAACTGTAGTGGGAAACGAAATGTTCAGGGTACAATTACCCAAGCAATTACCCGGGTAGTCCTAGTATTTTTGATATTTCACAAAAGTCCGAAAAAAAAAATCACGAAAACTGTAGTGGAAAACGAAATGTTCAAGGTACAGTTACCCAGAGCGATTACCCAAGTAGTCCCGATATTATTGGTATTTCATAAAAATTCGAAAAAAAACCCCACAAAAATTGTAGTGCAAAACGAAATGTTTAGGGTATAGTTACCCAGGGCCATTACCCAATTAGTTCTGGTATTCTTGGTAAAAATCACAAAAATTGCAGTGCAAAACGAAAAATGTTCAGGGTATAGTCACCCAGAGCGATCACCTGAGTAGTCCTAGTATTCTTGGTGTTTCACAAAAATTCGAAAAAAAATCACAAAAATCGTGGTGCAAAACGAAATGTTTAGGGTATAGTTACCCAGGGCGGTTACCCAGGTAGTCTTGGTATTTTTGGTATTTCATAAATTTCATAAATTTGTAAATCTTAAACTCAGTGAAGTGGAATTTCGTCGCTGTTATGCACTATTATTTCAACTAGCTGAACGCTTACCTGCCCATATCGCAATGCCAATTCATCATCATTATTCATTACTAGATGAAACGGTTCACCCTCATCTATCACCAGCCGCGAACTCGTATTCCGTAGCTGTCGCTGTAAATATGTGCTGGCGTTCATAATTTTTTGTTAAAATCACCGGGGAACTTAATGTGAAGTAAGTTATTCCAGCCGCTAAAACGCTAAATGCAGTAGGTATGGGATATGAATAAGTGGGAAGGGCAGTAGAGGCCGTAAAGGCCCCATGAGGATCATATCAACAAAAAATTATAAACAGCCCGCCTAGTGGATTGTAAACACCGGCCAATAC